GCCAAGTATCAATGACTGGTAGGTGGAAAATTGAAAATTGTCTTGTTCGCCCGTATCCAGAAGAATAGGAAGATTAAGTAGCCCCAGGATGTGGTGAAAGCCTTCACATGATGATATATGGTCAAAAATTACACTGTTGGGCCCAGTTGAGTGTTCCTTGATTCTGTTGGTTAGACATCTGTCAGTTTTACTAAATGTTGATACACCATGGTATGGTCACATGCATCATGGCGTCTGCAGTCCCGTCAGCACAGACACGACAACAGAGTTAGCACGGAGTAGAACGGGTGATACTCAGACGAAGTTAGGCCTAGGTCATGATAGAGGATGTTCTTCTTGGTGACCCATAACCATGTACAGTCAATATGCCCTCCCAGCTAACTAAAGCGTCCTTAGAGACCATATAGACCTTAACCTTCGAGGACGGAGTACCCAGACTGCAAGTTGGTTGTTGTTTTCTTGCTGTACATGTAGGTTTATTTCCGCTTGTGTGAGTAATTTGGCCTCAGGCAGCATGCTCATTGTGAGTTGCAAAAAACGAGAACGTATTTATTGTGTGATATCAAACAACGATTTTCTTTTCCCAATTTTTCTGCCACAAACATCGCAAACGTGATGCGATGCAGAACAACTGTAGTTCCCAACGATATCTTTTAGAAGAGTGGCAATTTCATGTCTAGTATGGAGTGAAAAAAATTGTCTTATATGTCAGTAATCCCTTCCCACAAACCAGACACTATGGGTGCAGTGTCCCAATTCAAGGAAAATTCTCCGCCAGGCCGAGGCATACAAAAAGTACCCCACAGAGATTGTTTCGAAAAGAGGGGTCTGTTTGGGGCCAAGAAATAGTGAGATTGTGTCAGTATGGCCCAGGATCATCTCTGTCGATTCAGGGGCACCCATCTTGGGGCAAAGCAGACAAAAATGGGATTAAAAATTAGTCAGAAGAGCCCCAGGAAGGTGAAGGATGTTATTTGAAAAATGGCCGCTGGGAGGGCTTGGCAACATTCACTTTTTGGGGGATGAGTTTGTT